GGGGGGAATCCACTTCGTGATTTGCCTTTGGATACGGACTTCGCGAGGTCCGTCAGGTGGAGACGCAACACCGCACGACTAACATGTGATGATCGGCGCCTTCTAATCCCAACAGAAACTTCGGTGACACGACCGCCTGGTCAGCGCAACTGTCCAACAGGGCAAGCGCCTTGACACCGTTGATGTCGAACGAGACCGTGCGAGGGCACACCGTAGAGATATCTTCGTAGACTTCTACGGCCGCACCAATAGCCTTGCTCTTGGTCTCGTCCTTCTTGTCCGGTGCAGCCACAGCAGCGACATGCAGTTTCTTGACGTTGTTCCAGCAACCGTTGCACCTTGCCCGGCTGCACCTTGGGGCATCTTAACACCTTGTGTTTGACGCTGCCGCACGTCAAACAGCTCCTGGCTCGCCCGACCGATGCTGTCGTCTTCGCCGTCGGGTTTCTTCGACTGCGCATGTCGCAGTGTCTTCTCGCCGTACTGGCGAAGCTAGTTTGATTCGTTTTCTTCTCCACAGAGACGAGTTGCGACTCGAACAGCATAAAGTTGTCCATGAGCGTCAAAAGTCACTTGCAGAACGCACGCACGTTGGACGTGAACGCCTTACTCACCTCACGCGTTAACTCTCGCTCGACAGTCGCTTTCAGCTGCGACGGTCGAATCGCCGCCGTCAGTGTCTTGACTGACTGCTTCGGCTCTTGCTCAGGCGAGTGAGCAACGCCCAGTTGCTCCCAACCTCTCGTACAAGTCGGAAAGCAGTCTTCCCACCCGAGACTCGGCGTCTCGGAACTTCGTGTCCATCTTCAGCGACGTCATCGCTTTGGACACCGCGTCGAGGTCCAACTCCTGCACCTCGCGTGCAGATAGAAAGTAGTCGCGCCAATCGTTCTCGGTATTTCTTCGAACGGCTTTCCAGAGTAGTGTGCGCACACACGTGGCACAAACTTTTGGTCGATGCACGCTACCAGCGGAATCAAAAGCAGCTGATGAGGATTTGCACACGCCGCGAGTAAGCGAGGTATTCGTCCATGAACTCCCGACGCTCGTGCTTCGTGCTTCCTTTGTTCATCGGTGCCTTAGGCACCTGTTGCACACCCATGAGGTTATCTGAACGCGGTAAAACTGGTGCCGTTGCCTGTTCCGCTTGTGCCGATCGTTGATTCGGTGCTTCGGCGAATAGACCCCACCGCTCGCTATCACGGCGAGCCTTCTGGTCAGCTCTTCTATATTGTAGTTTTGCTGACGCATCGCTTCTTGTTGGAGCATAACTTGGTGCGCTTGCTCAGCCATCACTCGCTTCAGCTCTTCTTGTTGGCGCACCAACTCCTCTTATTGTCGCGCGAGAACCGCTCGCGACTCTTCTTGTTCCTGGCGATTCTTCTCCATCGCCGCTGCCATGGTCAGCTGTTTGGCCGTTTCTTCTTCCAGGCGTTGCGCCATGGCACTTTGCTTAAGTCACCTGGTTGAAATGACTCGATGTAGCAGCAGCGCGCTTCACGCTCTGCACCCGTAGCTCGTCTATCTCCGCCTAGTTTGGCGGAGGTAAAGGCACAGCCACTACGGGCTCCATCGACCGTGTACGTGTCACACGATCCAGCGATCTCTTGAACGGTAGGCCTTCTTGTTCCATTCTTGAACGACAAGTAGCAGGCTGCTACTAAAGAATTCTTTGCTTTGTTACGTCTCCACCTGACGGACTTTGCGAGGTCCGTTTCCAAAGCAAATAACGAAGTAGATTCCCCCAGCGGCTAGCAGCCACTGGGGCTTAATCCTACCCTAATCAGACAGCTGCTCACAGCCACCGTCCAACTAACAAATGGGATCGCCCGGCTTGCTATCCTAGGGAACTGAGCCTTTGGACTGCCTTTTGGGGGGTCCAGGGATTGTGCGAATGGCAATTTCGCATCAATTCCCCACGTGAAATATTTCCAGTTTACAGAAACAATAATGCCCACGACAACCAGACACCGTTTTATCCACATGGAGCCACTGGAGCGACTTTTGCGCCATGCCATCATGGATGCGCATATCTTCTAGGGCTTCTACGTAAAATCCCTCACCGTCAAACGCTACTTGCGCCTTGAATTTTGTTTTCTGCAAGATCAAATACATGGACTTTACCGTCGCTTGTGACGGCGGCAA